CCCCCCCCCCCCCCCCCCCCGCTGCCTCTTCAGCATGGACTATCTACGGATCCCAGAGTTCACCCAGGAGCCAGACATCCTGCCCACTAGTGTTAGGTTAGGCTGAGGCCCCCTCTGATCCCCTCACCTAGCTCCTTCAGCGAGCTGTTCCTCCTCAGAGCCTGACACAGCTCCGAGGCTCCGTGATGGCTGATCTGGTTGTTGCGCAGGTCCAGCTGAGTCAGCACGCTGTTGGAGGCCAAACCAGCACAAAAGAGGGAGAAGGCCTCGTCCCACACCCCCAAAGCGTTCCACTCCAGGACCAGCCTGGAAACACATCCGAACCCGTCAGCATCCGGACATACACAGCTGTTTCTTGACTTTACTCTTGTTCCAAAACGGCTTCAAATCTGGGTTTGGTGCTGATAAGAAAGTTTTACAAGCTGGTATGTAGCATCGCTGTCAGCTGACAACTGCAGCCCTACTAAAGATGAATGAATGAATGAATGAATGAATGAATGCTACAGCACATTGACTGCCACCACCTGAGGAGGTGATATTGAGCTTTCAGTGGTGAACAAAGCCTCACTGACGCGGATCAGAGGGTCTCACCTGTGCAGAGTCCTGTTGGAAGCCAGCAGCTTTCCCAGCCCCTCGGCCCCTTTGGATCTCAGGTTATTTCCCTGTAAACAATAATATTCATAAACCGGCGTCTATCGGGACAGAACGGATGCACCCCAGTACCTGATTACCTTTAGATCCAGGGTTCTTACAGCTGTGTTCTCAGAGAGTCCAGTCAGGAGGAGGGCAGCAGCTGGAGGTCAAACACAGCTTTAGGGACACACGCTGGGGTGCACAGATCAGGCAGAGTAGCCCCCACATCCTACACACCTTCCTCGCTGAGCATGCAGTCGCTGAGGGACACCTCTGTGAAGACACAGTCTCTCTGGAGGGCCTTGGCCAGCACACGGCACATCTCCTCAGACAGGTTCTGCCCACTCAGGTCCAGCCTGGAGCCCTGGGCGGCCCGGCCCGCCTGCAGCTGGGCCAGGACGCCCTCCGGGGGCTCCACGCCTCCCTCCTCACACAGCTGCAGGTAGGTCCGCCTGAAAGCCTCCATCCCCGGCCCGCAGCCTGCTGGTCATCAGGGGAGGCCCAGCTTTAGGGTGTCCTCCGTCTGGGGGCGGAAGAGCAGAATCAGACATCTATTCTGGTGATGAAACACTAATCTATCCTAAATGGTCAGCATGGGACACGTTCCTGGTCTGGTTGTCAACTTAAAGCATGCCTCTGAGGCCAAAGCACTTTAAAAAGAAAGATGGGGAGCACGTCATCTGTCACTACTGTCTCCTCCCGGAAAAGCCGCCCTGATTGGTGGATTTTACAAACTATCTGCAAACTCAGATTAAATAAGAATGTGCTCATATAACCAATGTATGTTTGACTGCATCCGAAATTCAACACATTTAGTAAGTTTCTCTTTAACTCACACTCCCGCCGGATTTTTCCCTGGACTCCCGACGAGGAAGTATGTTTTCTGAACGATGATAAATGTTTCCACACAACAATAACAGTCGCCAAAAAACGTTAAAAACAAACAGCACTAGCCTGGGTGAAAAGAGAGGGAAAGCTTGCGGGAAGTTGCTGTGGTCAACACACCAGCTGACAACAGAGGGAAACGGTTAACCGGAAGCAGGAAGTGATTTTTGGTGCAATGCATCTTGGGCAACGTAGTTTGGAAGCCAGACTTTTTACGGTTACCTGAATTGCTTGCTTAGATTAAATTAAAGATTTAAGATGAAAAACGCATTAAAAGGTGAGAGTTGAACAGCAGACATCAACTGAAATGTAAAACTGGTTAAATGAATTGATTAGATAAAGTGAAGAATGCAGATAAAACACCTTCATATGGACTGACGTGGTCCTGTATCCTGGTTCTGGTCTGAACTGGACTGATGTGGTCCTGTTTACTGGTTCTGGTCAGAGAAAGTCTGCAGGTGACTGATGACACTTTCTTGTTGTTTCTGTGGGCCACAGACCAAATTGTGGACCGCATCTTAATTATATATTTTTTAAAATATGCCCCCAATCCAAAATATTGTAATGTATAAAAAAGTTTTTGAGATTGGGAAAAAGACAAGTGGCAAGTTAGAAGTTTGGGATAGTGCCAACAATGGGAGCGCATGTCAGTTTTGTGTGTGAAGGGGTCTTAAAATCAGGGCTACACTCTGAATGCTGCCATGCAGTTTTATTCATTTTGCTGAATAAAACAGGCTTTTACTCCCTGGTTGTTGCAGCAGAATAGAGGATTTCTTCAGGTATTTGTAGGCTGGTCAAAACATCTTGTGGCTGCTCCATCTGGACCAGCAGAGCCATCTGAAACTGCTCTGGTTCCACACCTTACAGGCCCGGTGGTCTGAGCGGCTCAGTGCTCTACTCTGGTCCTCCGCCAGGGGGCAGCAGACCCGCCGCCGAGCTGCCAGCTGCCGGTAAAGAGCCAACGAAGAAGAAATCGCTGGGCTCCGGGCTGCTGAGCCCCGGACTCTGGTTAGGCTGCTCTCTGAACCGCGTCCCGGTAGTCTCCCGCCGGCGTCCGCCATACGGAGCCCGGTGTGGGCAGGTCGGTGGTCGTCCCGCCGCCGCTGAGCCCCGGAGCTGCCCTCGGCCCGTCCGGCGGCCATGACCAGGGCCCGGGGGTCCCGGGCTGCTGTTGTCAGGAGGCTTTAGCCCACACAGCTAAACGAAAACCAGCACAATGACCGACCCTGAGAGGGCAGCCGGAACCTCCGCCAGCCCCCCCGGAACCTCAGCCGGAGGCCCGCCTGGGGGGGACAGAGGCCCGCCGTGGGGGGGCGGAGGCCTCCCGGGGCGGCCCAGGGCTCTGTGCTCCACCCAGCCCGGAAGGCTGCCATCGCTCAGAACCAGAGACCTGACGCTGGGGGGGGCCCTAAAGAAGCCCAAGGTAAGGAGGCAGTCCAGAAGATGTCTGTCCAGGTGTTGGTCAGAGGCGGCTGGGCTCCTGTTGGACTCCTGCTGGACTCCGGCTGGACTCCTGTTGGACTCCAACTGGACTCCTGCTGGACTCCGGCTGGACTCCTGCTGGACTCCTGCTGGACTCCTGTTGGACTCCTGTTGGACTCCTGTTGGACTCCTACTGGACTCCTGTTATACTCCTGCTGGACTCCAACGGGACTCCAACTGGACTCCTGCTGGACTCCGGCTGGACTCCTGCTGGACTCTGGTTGGACTCCTGCTGGACTCCTTGCATCAGAAAGCCATTTAGAAAGTTGTTTGTTGAATTGAACTTTTATGTAATTCTGTTCTTCTCTTCCAAAGAAATCCTTCGAGCCGAATGTCCATGCTGAGAGGAAAAGTAAAGACGAGTGAGTGACCATCATCAGGATTTTAGAAGAACTTTTGAGATGTTTGTGGGCCATTGTCAGATAAGAGTTGTTTAATTATGTCCTCTGACTCAGGTTAAAGGAAGAGATCCCGGTGGCTCCTAAAAAGGAGAAGAAACAGAGGGATGAATGGAAAAGAGAGAACAGAACCAGGAGGAAGGAGAGGCCAAAGGTCATCCAGTCCCACTCCATCTTTGAGCAGGCCCCTGCTGACTCAGAGCTCAAAGCAGGTACTCTCCAGACATCCTCCATGGTGGAGCAAACGGGCTCAGGGGAAATGACCCCCCCTCTCTCTCCTCGTAGGTTGGCCTGGAGCCAAAGGACTGTACGGCCTGACCTCCTCTCCCGTCTGCAGACCGGTCAAGGAGGAGCGGAGGGAGTGGAAGAAGGATGAAGACCTGCTGCTCAGCAAGCTGCAGCGGGACGACGTGAGTGACCAGCCTCCAGCTCAATCCGCTTTTTCAGTTCAGACACCTGACCCTACGGGAGTGTCTGATGTGGAGGGAGAGCCGCTCTAGCTCCGCCCACCTGGCGGAAAGGTTTCAGCAGTCAGGTGGAGCTGGTTACACCTGGTTAGCATCTGGATGAAACCTCTTCAAAAACCAAGATAAGAAGTGCACATGTCTCACTTTTAACTAGTGAATGTATACTAATTTTCATTCTGATTCGATACCAAATAATAGCAAAAGGAATTTTGATGACACTTTTCTACAGTATGAAAATAGGAGAAATGATCCTGCTTATTAATATTAAATGATAGAAACTATCCATAGAATGAGGAAGTCAAGATCTAATAATCAGTCCAGACTTAACTCAATTTGTGGAATTTCCTAATCTCATCCCATAAAACATCACATGGTTCTCTGGATATGTAAACATCTACACACATTTGTCTCTTTGGTCTGATTGGTTCTGTCATTTGCATCTACAGTTCCTGGATGATCCAGATCTGAGGAGTGACGCCCGGTTTAAGCCCATCCAGCTACCTCTGAGCCAGTCCAGTGGTTTCCCCGACACCCAGACCCCGTCGGCCACAACAAGTGAGAGAGCCGGTCCAGGGAGGCTGGTTTTTGTTCTCATTACTTCTGAACCTCCAGTCCTGAGCTGAGTGGTGACGGGCTGGAAAAGCTGCTGGGCTGGGGAGGCCTTTGTTCACACTGGACACTAAAAGCTTTCCTGGGGGGGGTTGCGGTTCCATACCAGGGGCTAAAGTAGCCGGGAGGCTGGATCCTGGGAGCCTCCATCCAGCTGAAAACCGCTAGCTGCTAACTCAAAACAGGACTCAGACGCTTTATTAGAAATAAAGACACACTTGCTGGGAGTGGAAGGAAAGGCCAAAAGTACAACATAATAATCACTCCATAATGAGGACAGACAGACCAGGAAAGTAACAAATAAGGGTCACTGAATCAAGGTAGGCAAACTATGAACAAAGTACCAAATAATAATCCCTCTAAGGGTGCAGAACAAAACTGTCCAAAATAATACTCACTTGGAGACTAGGCTGGAAAACTAATGAAGTACCAAAATAATAATCACTCAATACTCAATCAGGGATCAGGGCAGACACTCAGACAGATGACACACTGGGGAGACCTGAAACAAGGGGATGTACCTTTCAAAATAAAACAGGAAATGACAGGGACAAAAACCCTACCAGACCTCAGTGCTGTCCCCCCCCCCTTAGCTTCAGTCTCTCTAAAACTCTATAATGGCTCTTCCTCATATGAGCAGTCACCCCCCCACCCCTCAGTCCAAGGCAAGGCAGGTTCATCTGTACAGCACATTTCATGTTCAGGACCATTCAAAGTGCTTCACAAGCAATTTAAAAGCAGAAAAACAAGAAAAGAATCAACAATTAAACAGATAAAGAGTGAAGGGTTCAGATCAAATCCATCCAGTTTCCATCAGCTCAGCTAAACAGATGTTTTCATCTGGATTTAACATCCAGAGTTGGTTCTGTCTCACGTCTTCAGGAAAACTGATCCAGGTTTTAGGAGCCTGGAGCTGAAATGAAGCTTCACCTGGTTTAGTTCTGACCCTGGGCCCCAGCAGGAGACCAGAACTTGGTTTAGTTCTGACTCTGGGCCCCAGCAGGAGACCAGAACCTGGTTCTCAGAATCCAGCTGGTTCCTCTGGCTCTAACATGAGGAGACGTGTACACCAGCAGAGCTGTGTTAGTCTGTTCTCTGAGAGACAGGGAGCCAGCGGAGAGACACCCACCATGGTATGTCTGTGGTGTTTGCCCCCCACAGGTGGACAGAGCCCCCGCCCGTCCAGGTCCTGTGGGGGCCAGCGGGCTCCAGAGCTGGTGAGGCTGCTGCAGGAGCTCCGGCTGTCCGGGGGGGAGGAGCTCTTCTTCATCCAGCTTCCGGACTGCATGCCGGGCCCAGGGTCCGGACCGGGGTCTGGACTCTGGGGGGAGCCTGGGCCCGGATCTGCATCGGAGAAACTCGGCAAGAAGAAAGGAAAGTTTTCAGATAAAAGCAGCACACGGCTCCAGACACCGGTGAGTGGACACATAGTGTGACTGGACCTCCTCCCCTTCAGGAGTCCTGCGCTCCTCCTCCCTCTCCTCTCCCCCCAGCACCTCCTGCAGCTGAGGAGTCTGGACCTGTGGGTGGGGGCTCCTGCTCTCTCTGTCCTTCTTGCTCTCCCTCCCTGTGTCTCCTAGTGCTGCTCTTGGTGGGGGCTGTTGTTCTCCTGTAAATAACTGAGTCTGAGCTGCTCTGGTTGGAGAGCTGGGAGATACCTGCTGTTGGGATTTGGGGTTATAGGAATAAAGTTGAATTGAATTGAACGAGTCCCCAGATGAAGCCCCCCCCCCCAGGGCCGTTCTGTGCTCGCTGAGTCAGAGCGGGGGTGTGAATGTGCACAGGAGGCTGTGGTGGAGGGGGCCGGCCTGGGGCTGTCTCAGTTCCCTGAGGGGCGTCTGGGGAAACTTCAGATCAGGAAGTCCGGAAAGATGGAGCTGAAGCTGGGGGACATCGTCATGGATGTCTCAGAGGGAGCTGCTTTCTCCTTCCTGCAGGTATGGTGTGCACGCCTCACTACCTCTCATCAGTCTGGATAACTCTGATATGTTCTCATTGGAAAGGACCAGATTACACAAATAAAGAATCAATATATGTTGACGGGTTAGTTTGCCTTTGCAACTGGCTGAAAGATGAGTAAATATAAGGTTAAAAGACTACGTGTAATTGTTTGAAAGTGGAGTTGTTTGTTTAAAACGATAAACATTCCATTCACCTATCCTGTATTTGAAAAGAAAAAAAGAGAGCAATGGCTAAGTTGCCAAAATTGTTTAGAATTCAATTATTTTTGGGGATTTGTCATTAATAAAAACTAAATGTAATATCCACTTCTTGTCATTCATCATTCTGTTCTGAAAACAGTACACAGAAAATGTGAATTTTTCAATAATATTTATGATTGTGAGTAATCGAAATTGATTCAAGACACCTTGTGATTAACTAGATTAAACATTTTAATGTGTGTGTATATATATATATATATATATATATATAATTTGAAATGTCTTCTGTATATGTTTTATTGAAAATTCAACGGAATTAGACATTTACAGGAAAAAGCTTTCAATCAGGAAGCCAGACAAACCCAGGGATTCTGAGCCGTTTGACCTTTCTGGAGGGTCTCCCTGACATCGTGTGTGTGTCTGTATTAAAACACACACACATGCAGACACACTAACAGTGTTTTCCGGAGCGTTCTTGCCCTGCTCCTCTCGTCTTCTCCGTCCTCTTGTTCTCAGTTGCCCTCTTAGCAGTACTCCCCCACTGGACCACAGCCACTGGAAATGCCAACTGTTGCATTGTAATGGGGTAAACTTTACATAGGAGGCAGCTACTGCTCATCTAAAGATAAGGATTATTTTCTGGATTTCTGGAAACAGCCCTATTCTCCAGAATTAGTCCTCACAGGGGTCGTCTTTCATGTGCCAGTGTCTCATGGACTGGACTCCCATCCCTCTGCTCAGCATTCCCTCATGCATGTGGCTATTAAAGCAGATGTTTGGTTCCACTGAAAAGGCTTTTCCGTCTCAGTAATAAGGAGTTTGATGGGTGGAATGGTCAGACAGCAGTGGGATGTTATGTTGGACCCCCTCAGTGGTCAGCGGGTCCTCTGCTAATGAGGAAGTAGAAGCCATTCTGAAGCCTCTGTCTCTCTCTGCAGCAACTGGTGTCTGTCCACCTGTCAGATGGCCGGACTGGAAGCATGATGGTGCTGGGAAACGTCCATCACAAGCTGGTTTTATCGCCAGACTTCCAGGTGTTACTGAGCCAAGCTGCCACGCAGGAGCCCAAGGGCCCGTGATGGCCGCTGTGGGGCGGAGGACACCAGGACATCTTCACCCCATCTACCGGACCACTGACCAGGAGAGGCTCAGGGCAGCTGTTAATGTTACTGTCATGTTACACTCATCCTTCTTAGGATTTTTCTACTCTGTGAAATTTGTAGAATAGTTTTAAATGAAAACTAACTGTTCGCTTTTACTCTTAGTTCGAGAGTCTAAACTTTCAGCAGAAATGTTATTGTTGTTGGTATTTTGCAGTAAAGATGATTCACCTTCTTAATAGTCCTGGATCAGTGTTAAATGTCTTCATAATGCCCGGCCTAGGGTTAGGGTCAGGGTTAGGGCCATGGTTAGGGTTTGGCTTAGGGTTAGGGTTAGGGTTAGGGTTAAGGTTAGGGCAGCATTTCCTCTGACAGGAACAGGCTGCTGCATCAGTGGATCTGCTGACTCCAGACACTTCTCTCTTGGATGGACACAGTTTTGTTTCTGTTCAACAACAATATTAACAACTGTAAATAATTACACAAATTTACTTACAGTACATCACTTTACTTCTTGAGAAGGTTTACAAGCCACAGAACTGTCACAGGAACACCACAGACCACAGCACAGGGACACCAGATCTCATTTCACCTACAACAGCTCAGATCTTTTATCTGAAACACATTTATGGAATGATTCATTTACCCAGTGCTTTTTTTTTTTCAAACTCCACTTTGAAACCCACAACGTGACTGTTAACGTTCCCACGATGAGTCTGAATGTGAGAAGACTTAGTCATAATGTTGGTGGGAGTTCTCGACCAATCAGAACTGCTCTGTATTACAGACTGATGGTCACATGGCATACAGGGAGTTTTTATTTAATACTGGAAACCAAAACGTCCACAACACATTAACACAATCTGTAATCTCTGGGAGTGTTTAGCTACCACTGTGACTTTACAGCTAATGTTTAACCACATAAGATAGAGTCTAGATGGAGCAGGATGTCATCTGTAGCACGAGTGTAACACCTAACAGAGGAGACGTGGGTGGGGGGGGAGGACAGGGGGACTGAGGACAGTGTCACAGCAGGCCGGGCTCCAGCCTGAGAACGCTGACCAGTCCCCAGAAAACACTAGCTCACACACAGCGGTCCTCTGTAGGGCCAGTAGGGGGCGAGAGAGGGCTGTGCTGGGGCTCATGCAGACAGAACATAATCCAGAGAGGGGGGGGGGGGGTCGAAGGCTGCATCAGTCGTCAAATCGTCCCTCCAGGATGCTTTCAAACGAGAAGGGGACAAACTTGAATCCCTGGCCTGTGTAGAACTTGTTTTGGAATTCCACCCTGAAGGAAAGGCCAAAAGACAAAAGAGCAATGAGACTCAATTCCCAACGCGAGCCTGTTCCCAAGAAAGCTGTGCAGCATGGGGGACAGAGATGGACCCCCCAGATGGCCCCCAGGACCACTCTGAACACAAATACACGGGTGGAAAGGGAGGAAGGGTCTTTCATTTTTAAACAGTACTTGTGTGTCGTCTGTATTTCACTGGACTGAACAAGTGAAGCCCCTGAAACGGCCTCTGGGCTGAAGAGGGCTAAACTGGATTGAAGAGCTCAGCTGCAGAGTTAGCGCAGCTCTTTGTGAGTACAGAGGAAACATATGTGAAGCACTACCAACAACTTCATGCTGTATTATGGGTGAGAGTTTCTGGATGGACACCTCTGATTTAAACAGATTAGATGTCTGCAGTGGCTACAGAACAATGAAAATAAAGGATGAGCTAAACCTGCCCTGCTTACCAGATCAAAGAAGACACCCCCTATGTGACGGAGAGCTAAAGCTTCCCTGAGTGTGAGGGCAGCTGTGAGGAGGCCCTCTCCTAACCAGAGTCTCCTTTTCACATTTACACCTTAACAGGGCTCCCATCTAACATCCACGGACAAAATTCAAGAAGTAATTCCCCAAAGGTAGATTTAGAGTGTCCGGCAGCAGAGGGAGTGCCCAGGAATGTCTCCCAGCAGTGGCAAATATTTGGCTTGCCAGAGCTTTCTCAGGGCAGCACTTACAAAGAGGAAAGGAATACGGAGCCTCCCATCAGCCCCGGCCCGCAGCTGGAAAACCCAGCTGTGCTCCGCATACTAGGGTGGGCGTCCATCTGCTCACCAGCAGCACCCAGCCGGGCTACGGCCGGGCTACGGCCGGGCTACAGCCGCCGGGCTACAGCCGCCGGGCTATAGCGGCCGGGCTCTACATGCCTGCAGGTAATTTCACACTAATCCATGTGTTCTCCAATAGAAATGTACGTTTCAGGAGGCCTGATAGTTCCTCTGGTCTCAGTGTTCTGCCCCTGGGTCCGCTATGTTCCCTCTGAAGCTGCCTGTTGTTTCCCCTGCTCCTTATCTGGCTCTGGGCTCCTGGATGAGCAGTGTGGACGTGGTGCCAGGAGCTGGTGGAGTTTGGGAGTGTGATAGATAATCTGGAGTCAGTAAACTAATTGGGGAATGCCTGTTCTTATCAGAGCTCGTAATGCTGACAGACCACAGCCGGGGTCCCGGGTCAAAGGGGGAACAGGTGTTTATGGATTCTCTGTAAAGGCTGTACTACATGTTCACATTGGTTAGAGTAGTATTCATACACGTTTTGCAACTCTGTACAAAAGTCCTGATCCAGCCCAATTTCTTCCAATATGTTTTATAAATAAACTAAGGAGCTCAGTGTGAACATCTGTCTGAGCTCCTTTCTCCTCCATCATAAAGCCCATCACTTCCAGATCCTCTTCCTCTGATGGATTACAGAGTTTTTAGGCCCAATCATTCTTCTTCTGTCCTCCAGTTTCCTCAGATGTTTTCAGGACTCTGCTCACCAGCTGAGATCTGCTCAGTTTTCAGCCAGCAGCTCTCTGCATCCTCAGAAATCCTGTTTCCTGTCTGTCAGACTGGGTTTTCTTTGGCCTTTTTTACACATCAGATAAAGTTATGGGAAGTCCTATGATAGGCTGCAAGAGCCAAGGAGCCTAAAGATCAACTTTAAACTGCTTTAAAGTCGTCTGTGTTGTGTAGACACTACACTGGCTCATCCCTTGAGTTAGGGCCTTTTTTCGGCCTGAGTGATTCCTAGATCAGAGTTAACTGGTAACAAAGAAAAAACATTCCCCTGAAAATGCTCAGTTTCAAGGGCTAGACTGAAAATAACAGCAAAAGATGGAGGAGCTTGGAGGAAAGCATGGCTGCTCAGAGCTTCTGCACAGAGCTGTCTGAGTACTTCATGTCTGCACGGTGAGGTGTTTGTGTGCTCCAAACCAGTGCAGACGCAGGGCATGCAGGAACGCAGAGAGGCCCTCCATGATGAGCAGAATGGCCACAGTGAGAGTGGCAAAGGCAGAGAAGATGATGGTCAGGCCAAAGAAGCCGCCCCCGCTCCGGGAGGACAACCCCAGGTGCATCACCATGGACCACAGCACCTCCGACAGCTCTGCAGACACCAGGACAACCAGAGGGTTTGCACAAAAACACACACCAGGAGCCCCTCAGCCCCGCTGTGTGTCCGGGGCTCTGGATCTGCACACTGACACCTACGGGCATGGGCCAGGCTGAGGGCCCACAGGCGCAGGTAGGACGCAGTGTTGGAGATACAGCCCAGACAGTACTCGATGGTGTGGATGGCTTGGTGGACGGCCACATCACCAAAGTCAAACTGTGGGAGAGGGAGAGGGATGTTAACGAGGAGCAGGTCACCTTAAAAAACGGATCCTTGTCTGGGCAAGAAACGACTTCTGCATTCCCATCAGGAGAATAGAATAAGATGGTAGCGGACAGGAACCCGAAGGACCCCATGTGGGAATATGATGCAGAGGCCTCCTGACCTGCTGTGCCTCCACGGCTCTGAGGAGGTCCAGCCCCCCTCTGGCCCTTCATATACACTGTGTCTATGTTGGCCAGCCGTTCATTACCTGCACTACCTGTAGGTATTTGTAGATCTACATAGTCCCAGTCTCCTCTCTGTCTATGCAAACTGACTGGCACTGACAAAGAGACTTCAATGCAGATTCAGGGTTACAGTTAACGTCAAAGCTAACAATAAGACACATAGCAGGAAAACACTGGTGATGGTCTCCAGAGGAAAGTACAGAAAGAGTAGTAAGCGTTAGGGGAGGACATGCTCCCTGAAGAGCTGCGTCTACAAGAGTCTTAAACATACACAGGGACCCCTGTTGTTTGGGGGTCTTTGGTCTTTGAGGTGTTCTTATGGTCCAGCCAGTGAAGGCCTCCACAAGCTCTTATTACCACAGACCGACTGGATCTTTCCCAGAAAAACACATGAAGTAAACAGAACCTTAGATGAACAACAAGATTAAACCATGTCATTATTCACTGAACACAAACTGAGAAACTAATTTTTTTCTTACTTCATCCTCAGGAATTTTGAGAGTGAGCTGAGACAGGTGCTGCTGATCAGAGCTCTGATTGGCTGCCCATCAGTGAGTGTGAGCACCTACCTCCATAAAAGCAGACGTTTGCTCAGTTTGCAGCTCTGCAGCATTCAGGTGTGTAGTAACACGTTTTCAAAAGGAAACGCATCTGCAAGGATCTTAAAGAAACTGTTTTAGCTGCCCCTCAATCTGGGAGGTGTTAGAGGGCCGTTTCTAAACTGTCTGAAGTCCATCAGTCTACAGAGTAAAGCTTCCAGACAGCTGGGACACGTCAGAACAGCTGTCAGTGTCCCAGGAGGGGACGTCCCAGCAGGTTAGACTCTACAGGCCTTAGCAGGTTAAAGTTTAAGCTCACGGCAGTACAGTCAGAAAAGACTGAAGAAGTGTGGCTTGTTTGTCCGTGCTACAGGAGAAAGCCTCTTATCTGTAAAGAGAACATGGCAGAACAGTGGAGTTAGCCAAGCTGCAACTAGACAGAGCAGACTTCTGGAACACTTCCTTTGGACAGAGCAGGCTGAAGTTCAGACGTCCACTCAGATTGTACAGAAAATCCAACACAGCACTTCACAAACGCCTCATGCTAGCTGTGCCATGGTGGGGGGGGGGGCGGTGCTTTGGGCTGGTCCTGGAGCTACTCCACCTGGACACCTAGCAGTCACTGAGTCCTCTATGGACTACTCTGAATGCTAAAGAAGTGTAGAGTCTAATATGTCCCATAGCTAAAGCTGGACTGAGAAAGGCTGGTCAACATGAGGATGATTCCAACCACAGCAGCAAACCGAAAAACAGACGCTGCCAAAGAAAAGAAAGGAGTTTCTGAATAGTCCAGTAAAAGTCCAGATCTCAGCCCGACTGGGATGCTGGTGTGGGACCTTAAAAGAGCTGTGCAGGAACCAGTGCTGCAGAGCTCAGGGAGCAGCGGAACCATGGGAAGTTGTGAGAGAGACTGAGAGCCAGACAGCATCACTGACACCACATCTGCCGTTGTTCATCTGAGGCTGAATTCACCTCATTTTAAAGCTTGTCTGTTTGCACAGAGCGTCTGATTTTCCAACACATGCACATGCACGCCCAGCATGGACAGTCCAGCACTCTTGGACAGACTGACATCTGGCCCCAGTAAAAGATGTTGGCTAAGGCATATCCAGACATGCTAAGAAGATAATGAACTCTTACCGGTTCTTCCTCTGAGTGCTTGAAAATAAACAGAGGTCAAATGATTAGTTGAAGTATCTAGAAATCAATAAGCATGCTTCCTGCCTCTGAATGCTCTACTGGTCTTATTTCACAAGTCACAATGCCCTGGTCAAAGTAACGTGGTCAGTCAGAGGCAGTTCCCTTTAGAAGGACCTTGTCCACACAGAACAGGACTTTACCTTCACCATGTGTCTGCATTTACATGTGGATAAAAACAGTCTGTTTACAGGAATACGTGTGGACAGGGCCCGGTGTGTGGAGCATCTCACCCAAAAAAGATTTCGGTGAGTTTTTTTATGTCATTCTATACCAATCTGTCAGACAGCGGGGGACTGCAGCCTATCCCAGCTGCCATTGGACCACAGGTGGGATGCACCTTGGGCAGGTCTATCACAGGACAGACTCACTTCTGCAGTTCAGCCTCTGCTTAACCTATCATGCACATTTTGGATGGACAGAGTAGCTGGAGAGACCCGTGCAGTCATAGGGAAAACATGCAAACTCCATGTAAAGCCCACTTACAGGGCAGCCAAAATTGTAATTCAGTACATGGATAATGCTTTTCTCTGGCTTTTTCATACATTTGCAAGTATTTGTCTTGTATTTGACCTTAAAACATGACAAAATTCAGATGGTGTTCTCAGTTTGGGTTTCAGGGAAATGCATAACCCTAATAGAGATACACCAAGACTAAAATACTGCCTTTATGTGGTGTCTTAACAGCTTCAGGAGTTCATGTTTCCAAATAACAAGAAGTGCCGGATGCCACTGATGAGAGGCTCTAAGGGCAGTGTAGAATAGGGTAAAGGAGAATCCTGAGGATGGGCTTTTAGCATTGCTCTCCATATGTTCCTGGAACACTCAGACCTCTATGTGTGGAATCACATGACTGTTTATTATGCCTAATTCAAATAGCATAGACTTGGGAAAATCATACAAAAACAACAGTCTTCATAGATTCCAGTTCTTCAGTTTGCTCTCACAGCAGAAACATTTGAGACATGTGCTATGGAGCAGAAGTGAGATAGGCCTCTGAGCAAAAAGTCCTCTGACATTTCATTCTGGTTCCCATCCAAACATGCTTTGTTTCTGTTTTTCAAATGGACTAGACTGTGGTGTGTTTTAGAACAAAGTGTGCACATAAGAGCCTGCCTAGGTGAGTGGCTGTTCCAGTGCTCACCTCATCCCCATCCTCTGAGTGCTGTGAGAGCTGGTCGTGGTCCATGATCCCAGCCTCGTCCTCTGTGGGGCCGTTGCCCACCCGCACCCCTCCAAACTTCTGCGTGCCCTGTTGGGTGAGCCCGGTGCATGATGAGGACACACCTGTTTGCTCTAAAGCCTGCTCTAGATTCTCTGCAGGGGTTTCTTCCCTCTTCTGTGACTAGATACAAAAGCCACAAGAGCTGTGTCTAGCTTAAAGCATGCCTCAGGATGAATTCTTCCTTCTTATTTGACTTTCATTATATTCAAATAGTGAGTCAGAACTACCCCAGAAAAATGTATTCTATCCCCCCCATTCTTAGAGGAACTTAGTAGTTTTTAGAGGGGAAGTGGTCTCATTGGTTGAGTTACACCTCACAGCTGAAGAATGAAGACCTATGACTCCATATGGTCGTATTCAGCCATAACTGTTGCTGTTAGAGCTGGTTCTTTGGACCTGCTTATCAGCTGTCCGATAAGTAGCAAATATTGACATTTACGAAGATTAGTACGGATATTCATTTGATCAAAAGTGTGACAAGCACAGTATGTTAACCATAAAAGGAGTTCCATTCAGAACAACTGATATAGACAGAAATTCAACTGTTTTTCTCAGGTACACAAACTAAACTCACAGAGCTACAGCATGTTTTGTTAGGGCCACAACGCTAAAGGAAAGGTTTTCATGGAGTCTTCTCATAAACACCACAAACATGACTATTACTCTTCAGAGCTACTGGTCTTGAAGTGTAACTAAACCACTGAGAATTATTTTAAAAAGCAGTACATTTCAAGGAAAAAGAAATATATGCTCTGTAAGTCTTTATATATATTAAAACTAGTCATTTACAAAGATTGAGCCGTAGAATAAAAACTTTTGGGGTAGTCTGTTTCTAACATTTCCCATTAAAGAATCCACATTCCCAAGGCAGGCTTTAAGCATCATTATGGCAGCACATTCAATACATCACACAACATAATGTGCATTGAAATGAATGGCAAAACAGGGCTAAAATGTAGGATAAACAAAGGTTATAATCATCAACCAATCAAAGGAAGGTTATTGGTGGGATCAGGTCCACATACCAGATGCTTTTTCCACAGGTGCTGACGTCGAAGTACCAAAGTTTTCACTATCAGCATACAGGGAACACATGCAAGGGCAATCAGCACCAACAAAACCTGGATCCCCATCTACAGAGTTGAAAAGACAGAGGTTAAAAAGATGCTTCAAGTGGCCAGTAAATACCAGCTCCCTGTCCAGACCCCTGTAAGGTCGCCTTCCTGTACAGAACCAAACCAGCAGGATTTGCTTGTGTTTTGTTTCCATCCAAGTCTTCAAGTATATACAAGGTGCCTGAAGGGGCATGTGACTAACAGTCATGATGTTCTGGATAGCTAAAATATGACTAGTATCAGTAAATAAAAACAAGGCTGGACCAATTATAGCTCCGTGGTCAAGTGTTTTGCATGGTTTTAATTCTTTGGTTTCAGGCTGCTGGTCAGAGCCAAAAAGCCTTTGTGGATAATAAGGGGGCTGCTAACGCCTGGTGGAAGCGGCTGCCTGAGAATTGTAGAGGTGGTTAGGGACCTGGGATGTGAAGGGACCACAGCCACGAGGCCTATGTGCCAGGGCTGCCCTTTACCCCCAAAGCTGTTTGTGCTCTTCATGGAGGCTAAGCAATGGAGAGGAGGGGGTTTCATTTGAGAACCTCAGGGTCACCCCTTCTTCAGGATGTCCTAGTTCTGTTCATTTCTGAAGACCTTAACATCTTCAGTGTACAATGAAGCAGGGTTAATCAAATTCTGAGGGCATGACTTTTAACCAGAAAAAGATGGAATGCCTTCCCCAGGTCAGGGATGAGCACCTGAAGGAGTCGGCTGTAGTGATTGAGCGACGGGGAAGGGTCCCTTCTGGTAGAACCTCCAATGACCTTTTAGAGGGATACCCATCTCTTCTGGCTGAGGAATGCCCCCAGAAGAAGCTTAGTGTGTTGCAGGGGAGATGAGGAGAAGGTAACCCATGACTGGAAACAACACTGATATGGTTGCCAGTCTTACCTCGGACTTAAGAGACTTTTTAAATAAAGAGGCTTAATAATGAATCATCGTAAACTGATGATTGTTAAACGAGTGAAAAAACTTGTGTCCTCATAGTTAATGCTGCATTCTCCTAGCCAGTCACTCACTCTCTTCCAAAGCCCTTTCTATTGTAAACTGCATGTTAGCAACAGAATTACAGGCAGGGGGGACAGAGGATTGGACGAGGGGGGAGCACCTGTCCGCGGTAAAGGGGTTTGTTGGTAGGGTCATTGTAGTTAAAGAGACACATGTTGATGAAGTGGATGAGCAGGCTGGGAGCATCCTTGGAGGTAAAAGCATCATAGGCCGTCCATTTGTAGAAGACCAGCAGGATGAGGTAGCCAAACAGGCTGAACATGAAGACAATCTCTGGGATGAAGCCCAGGAAGATATTCAGGGGCTTCTTAAAGTATCTGTGGACATGACATTTTGAAAAAGGGAAAACTCAGTCAGAGTAGACTTATTTATGCTTTCTTATTAAAACCTAAATGGGTGGAAGGCCATTTCTTTTGTATAATATTTGTTGACCATTATTATTACAGAAAATACAATTAAGTGCTGGAAACGTAAAAGTGTTGTTAAATGTTGTGTCATCATGTCGAAAACGATGAATGATAATGAACAACGATGATGAAACAAGCGAACTGCACAGGTGTTCAAAATAACGTACAGGTGGTTGAAGAGACTGAGGGACACTCCAAACAGCATGTGGATAACACCAAGGATGACTGACATCTTCATCTTGAATGAATTCAGGAAGGTGAGCTTGTTGGCAGCAAGATTCCAGATCTGCAAAGACAGAAATGACCAGCCTTTTCCGTTAGGGGTGTGTAGAGAAAACCACTCTTGTGTTAGGAAATGATGACAATGCACATTTTACCGGGTCAATTCCAATCGGATATGGCCCATTGAACACACCAGGAACAGCAGGATCCAACTGGAGTACAGCATTTCCATCAAGTGTTTCAAACCTAGGACGAATCCAAAAAATGTTCTCGTTTAATGCAACAAGCTACAGGGTATTCAAAGAAAATGAAACATCTCTCTACACTGAGATGGCTGCTTTGGGGTTAACCAGAACAAAACCCTTTTGACAACACGTGGATCTGAGTATGTGATTGTTTTTCAATGTGTTGAATGGCTACATAGATGCTGTCACAGTTCAGTGAACTAGTCATCAATCCGTTGTTTTATTACAGAGGAAGCATTCTGAGGACCTGAGAGAGGGAGGGACTTACGACCAGTTGGCTCCTTTGGAGCCAAACATGGGTCTGACACTCCAACCAGAGCCGAACATGTTCAGGGACTTGGAGAAGCAGTCATTGTAAATGATGCCAGTGTAGATGGAAAAGAGCCCCATCAGAAGGATGATGTATCGACCAGCAAAAACCATGTTGAACATCTACAGACAAATAGGAACGTCTTATTGACCCTATGTATCAGAGAACAGAGGACCTTGTTGTGTCATTTCTGAGTAACTGCACCTCGTTGTCGTTCTTCTGAGAAAGAAGACGAGTCTCTCGAATAACCAGGTATAGAGCAGCACAAGTCATCAAGACGCCATGGCCCATGTCACCAAACATGACCGCAAACAGGAAGGGAAAGGTGATGATGGTGTACGGAGCTGTAACGGGTGGCAGACAGGGAGCCAACAGAAAAGGTCAGTTCTCACATCAACTAAACCAAATAGGTTTTGGGTTTGACAGAATTTAAAGCCAAATTTTGAGTTTCACAAACAGTGAGAATCTTTTTGTTTGTTGTAGCTTCATTTCTTTATAAAAAATAAATCACATTTACACCATGTTCAACACAAGAAAACTAGTTAGAAAACTAGTTCTATTATCATAGGATGGGATTAGATTTAGGGGCAAAGTCCTTTTAAGCTAAATGGTTTTGTGTGGATGGTAGATTTCAAACAGCACCCAGAATAAGGATTAGAAATGTGGGCACTGCTGTTCTCTGAGCCTATTGGTGTGTACGTCCCAGTTTGACCAGCTTAATGCTGGTCAAACTGCTCACTGTAATGGCAACATACTCACTATGCTGCTCTTACTTTCTCTTTTAAACATATCATTCAAAATGTGTATTTATTTTGTTCACGTAGCCAGACACAATATTTCCTTATGACCACTGTTAAAATACCAGACTTGTTTTAAGCTGCATGAAGAAATCCCTGCATCACCTGGATTGATCTCCCTGTAGTTTCCAATGCCATAAGCATCAACAATGTTCTGGAAGCCTGAGGTGAACTTGTTGGTCTTGTTGAACGTTGGTGGTGTCTGCTTGGTCTGCATCCTGTTTAGGATCGACGGTACTGTGGAGCCGCTCCTCTCCTGTCAAACACAGAGTCCCCTGTCAAGCACAGACTGTTTACATCTATGGTTACTGAGCAGGAGAAACCTCCTGATGCATCGGTCAGTAAATAACCCGGAGCAGCACCCCCTCTGGCTCTCAGCTTTGATGCTGCAGCCCCGTTCATTGGGAGGTTAGTCGACACATCACCTCTGCTGTTAACTACAACTGGACCTGCTCACAGGAGAGGGGGCTGTGTTCTGCCTTGAGTGCTGTAATAAGTCTGGCAGTTGCTTAGAACATTTGTACATATTGTGCTACCATGTTTATGTTTATGCATTTGACAATAGAGCCTATTAATGAATGCATGCATCACTGATTAGCTGATCCTGCTGTGCTACATGGGCTGTCAGGCTGTTGCTCTCATGTTCTATTCACCAGGCAGTGAAGCAACCCTCTGAAGCGTGGGATGAGAAAGATGACACAGATAGTGGAGGACAGCACATTTTCCCCTGTAGGGGAAACCCAAACGGTCAGAGTGACCTCCACGCTCACCACCTGGACACAGCTCCTAACAGCCCTGACCCTAAAACAAAGCACAGCCACAAAAACTGATTCTGCCCCCCTAGGGGCTCCTCACTAAACCGGTGGAGCACCTTTTTGCTGCAGTTTTGGGGAAGATATTGGATTTTTCTTTCTTTGTTTACAGACCAAAATCATGATTTATGATCACAGCTGCTAAAACTTGCCAAACAGCTCTTTGGATTAGAAGCACAGTAGTACTTGTTATTGACCCAACAGCATAGTGGAACCACAGTCAGACCAGTAGCAGAACCATTAGACCTTTGTTATTTCAGACATGCGATTTAAAATATGAAGACAGCCTTCAAAGTTCACCAAACCCACTGTGCACAGTATCAAAATGTAATGTCATTTACTCTGGTTAGTGAACATGCAGGAGCTCTCTGACGCTCCAAAAGTAGTCAGATAACTTCAGGTGCCACATTCTGCAGGCATGGCAGCAACAAAGTTACTTAGAAAAACAGAGCCGTTAACGGCAAAGACAAAACAGAACAGAAGATGTTCATTTAGAACATGCACTCACAGTTCCTCTGCGCAGAGCGAACTGGATGGAGTCCAGGTCAGACACAGGACACCACACCTCCGCAATCAGACACTTCTGAGTCACGTCGATGTTGCAGAGGTTGAGTGTGTGGTAGATGGCCTTCATCTTCCTCACTTTGATGAACCAGACGCGCATGTTCTTGGAGGCAGCTTGAAGCACCCTCTGACGGTGGTCCTCTGTTTGGTTGAGCACCTACAATGACAGCAACTGTTCATGGATCCTGGTCCAGTGACCAGTGGAGGTTTGGATGATGTGAGGCTTAGAGAAGACCCGGATGGTAGGATAAAATGTGGGGAAATCATCCTTATGAATCCCACCTATGTCAGAATTATGCAGCGTTCATTTTCCATTATAACACATTATGTTTGGTTACAGACTTCTCACACAGAACCAAAGCTGTGATAAGTCCTTACAGAGGAGCTGGGGACCCTCAAAGGTACCAAAAGACAAGAACATTCCTCTGATTGTAAACAGATACAATGCAGGAGGCTGGAAAACGATATCCTGCTAAGTTTCTGATTCATTTCTCTTTGGCAAAGTGAGCAGTTAAGAGAAAACGAATAGCAATAACCGCCTTTATGAGAATGACCCGAAAACAAAACAGCTGGACCACTAACGGCACGGGGACCTCAGAACATCTAACCACCCCCTCAGGGACCGCTGCCTTTGCTCTGCCTCAGGTCATTCAGGTCCCATCACTCAGTAAAGTCTGTTCATTGTGACTGGATTGCTGGATCTGAGGTGAGACATAGCCACTCGTAACTCACCATCTGGAGGTCATCGATGCGGCTGTTGACCCCGGCCAGCATCTCTTTCCTCTCCTGAGGGGTCTCCGGGCATGGATACAGAGAAGCGCGGAACCTGGAGAAAGTCCCCCTCCATTAAAGCTACAGCAGCATGACACACACACCCTGACAGCCAGTGTTTCCAGTGTGGCGCTCACACTGGTGCTGCCTCTGGCTTCCCATAGAAGATTAAGATGTTGCAAAACAATACAGATAATAATAGACTGAGATCATTTGTAGTATGACTCTCAGGTGAATACTCAAATACTGTATGAAAAGCAGAGGGCATAAAGAAGAACAGCAACTCCCTGTCTTATGAAATCTATTTCTGTTCAGCAGGACTAAAGCTCAGGCTGGTGGATTGGATGTGAGCAGCTGTACTGTTGGCTTGGAATAACCTGGTTTCTGTCAGAAACACGTTTCAAAATGGCTCATCCATGCATTATCCCAGGAAACCCTGTCCCCAGCAACCATCCGGGTTTCCAGTGTCGTGTTGCTGGATTTCTGTTCTTTACTTCCTGATTTCTTTGAACCACATCTGTCTCAGGAGATGAGTTGGGTTTTGTCATTCATTCCTACATTCTTGATGGTCCAGAGTAAATATTGCTATTTCTATTCATAATTGCATGTAGAGTGAGCGTGCTAGAGTTAGAAGGAATATCAACTGCAAATGAAAAGCTTTTCATGGTTATGATAAACTAGTCCACATCAATGGGAACACCAGTCCAACCTTTTCCAACCTTTTCCTTCTTTCTTCTATCTATTGTTTGCCACAGTTTGTGAATGACACCAAAAGAGTTTTGAACTCCTCTGAAGACCTCCCTCCACCCCGGCGTCGGCTGTTTCCCACTGAGGACCAGCACTGACTGTGAGGTGCTAACTTTCTCCCTGACTGTTTCACACTCAGCTACAAATTGCCCCGTAGGCTGCCAACAATCTACGACCGGACAGCACTCTGCAATCCATGACTGTCTGTAGAAGTTATTATTTTTTCTTTTATGAAAAGAAGTCAAAGCCCAAAACCCCATATCAGCAGACCACCTCCCACACGCCCCCACCATGTCCACAAAACAGTTCCAGGAACCACTCAGAGTGCTTGTCAGGGTGATCCCGTGTTTATCCATGAAAAGGGAAAACAAGCATTTCTTATCTTGAGGAAAGGCTTTGGAAAGGGCTTAAACCTACAATACCAAAAGCATCATCTTTTGCCTCATTTTGTGGTAAAAGCCTTGCTCCAAACCCTGCTGTACCCAATCAGATATACCTGATTACAGCAGGCAGAGAAGTACAGGGCAATCATTTAGACCTCCTTAATTAATGCTGAATATTAAAAAATGATTTATGTTTTCTCCCATATTTTGTTAAAGGGCCAAATAGAAGACATTTTTCTCTCTGTTTTTTCTTGCATCAGACTTTAAAGGGCAAAGATGATCAATAATAATGGATGTTAAGTAAAACAGGCCCATCTTGTGTGACACCCACCCCTCACAGATCTTCTTCACTCTGTTCTTCAGCTGGTCGCCCTGAAAGAAGATGATGAACACGGATTTGTGGACTTGGTCTCCCTGGAAAAAAAGAAGAGGAATAAAAGATGGATAACTGTTTCACAACAAATGATGAATTTACTTAATAAAAGTTAAGAGGATAATGGTTTCCTAGAATGAACAAACACACGCTGTGTGTCATGTGACCGGTTTTCCTTCATTTCTAACTATTCTTTTTCCAGAACCGGATTATGAAAGCCTGAGTGCTTACGGTGGCTGGGTCCTCCAGAGGGTCCTCAATCTCTGCCTTTCTTAGGAAGACGTTACCGCGGCACACCCTCCACAGCATCCTCTCAAAGGTGGGAATCCTCTCCCTGCTGATGACTCCCGCCACAAACCTGGATGCACACAGCACGCAGGTTCAGAACACCACATGAACCACGAAGTACTCTGAGTTTACATGTGCAGGGTCTCTGAACATCCAGGAATGCAGCATGAAGATTCAGGAACTATTGAACAAACTTCTTACTGGTTGACTGTGGGATCTATGGTTTTGAAGGCTAACTAACTTACTAACTTAGCTGGTCTTAAAGACCTTCAGGAGTTTTCACTTTCTTACAAATTCAGTGTGTTTTAATCAACACATTTATAAGTAGTCACTAACCTTTCAAGCTTTATTTCTTGAAGATCTAACTCAGAATCAAGGTGATCTCAGTGTTCAGTGTGTTTTCTTTTATGTAAGGACTAATCTGGCTCCTCTTTCCCGCTCAACAAGGCTGTGGGTCATCCCACAGGGGGGTGGTGGTGGGTTAGCCCTCTGGCCACTCTGGATCACGTGTTGGGGAGTCCTTGGACAGGGCCCTGAACCCCAGTGCTTCAGTGGGAGCATGTGATCCACACAAAGCACTGCGTAGTCCCACAAGCTAAGATGTGCTGGATGTAAGACTGAGTGACCGTAGGGGGAAAGTGTTGGTGGTGGTCAGCTTGACCGGACAACACATGAAGTAATGGCATGTGGAGCCTTTTCCTGTTAGAGTAAAAGGCAGCTCACCCCAGCCTGAGCGGGGCCCCGCGGCCCCCCTCGCTGCCCTCCATCAGGGCTGAGGACTCCTCCAGCAGGTTGGGGTCCTCCATCTGTCAAAGACATGTTCATTATGTTTCACAACATGTTGGGTTTCAGTCAGAGTCCAGCAGACCTGAGTCTACAGCCTGAGGCGGCAGCACCGGGATGGGGGGCTCAGCACCTCATCGAAGAACTGCTGCGTTCGATGCAGGATGTGTTTGAGCTCCGTCAGCTCCAGGAAGTTCTTCTTCAGGGCCTCCTGGTTGGTGTTGATTTCCTTCAGTTCGTTCTCCAGCTTCTCGAACGTGGCCTGCGGAGCACAGACACAGTGCTGTGAGGGGTTTCCTGTCCAGGCAGCAGAGCAGCACCATCAACGCTTCCACTGGTCAGGGATTACCTCCAGATCTATCATGTCCCGGGGAAAAGGCACCTCTGGATTCTCCCCAGTGTCCACCATGGGGATGTTAGCTTTTTTAATCTCTTTTTCCACAAATCCTGTCAAGCAGAGAATAACAAACGTGACCTTCACTTCACCCCACTCTTCCCTTCTTCTCCCTGGAAGGGCCAGAGCCTGATAGGCTGGGCCCTCACTGGTCGGTGCTCACTCAGTTTCCGGTCCATCTCCTCACATCTTCTGACCTCATTCACAAATTTGCGCTGAAACACGTTTACGTCTGGATTCAGCTGAGAGACGAAACAGACAGGACAACACCAGACACGTAAACACACCGTTTATCCAAACCTTAAGCCTAACCTCAGCTTCAGAGGACTTTAAAGCTGAAAATCATCTGAACAGAGACAAACTGTCCAAGAGCTTAATGCAGACTAATATCTCTGTGAGTGGACTCACGTCTCTGAACTGGACCATGCCCAGTTCTCCCAGTTCGCTGACGCAGCAGTAGGCCGCCTCTGACTGGAGGAAGAGCTGGGCCAAGGTCATCTCCTCGCTTCTGAAGAGTTCCCCCATGCTGCCGGCCGGCCTCCACCTCGGCTTGGAAGAAACACACTAAAGCTGGAGAGGCAGAGAGACGTGATTGGGAAGGGCTTTAAACAGGATGCATTTCCATGCTGCTGCTGGATTTCTGCAGCTTTGTCCCTCACCACCAAACACACACTCAGATGATATGGCTGTAGTAGGACTACTAAACAGTTCACCCGCAGAATACCACAACGCCATCTCACACAGTGAGACCCATCAGCATCAGCACATTATAAAATATAATACATTTTAGTTTTCTCAAAGCACATTTCATGAGTCTGAAAGACACCTTACAGAGACAACATGGAAACATAAGAAACACACAATCAACACATTTAAAACATCACAAATGAATAAAAAAGTGCAAATGAATAAAAGTGTGCAGAATGAGGGGACTGTTGCAGTTAGGGGGGGTGGAGAGGGTAAACAGGTGGGTTTTGATATTTGACTCTGGAGGGGCCACTAAGTCTGAGTATGGGCTTTTAGGCCTAATTTAGGCCTGCTGCTGCTTCTAAATGATGCGTGTTGTTCTCCAGATAGAATCCCATCACTACAGCAAATGCCCAGGTCCAGTTGATCTGCCAGCATTATCTGCTAGCATTCATATTCCAGATGCTCAAACATCCATACAGCTGCCAGGGATCTGAAACACTGGTCAGCACACTGGTCAGCCTGTGAGCTGATTACGTCATAAACCTGAGCTGCTAGCTCTTATCTGATTGAATACGTGCTGTAGCAGATATTTTTTTAAAGGAAAGGTTTACTCCTTCCCCCCTCCCCCCACCTATCAG